TTCGAATGTGCATATCGGAATTATGCAGAACCAGTAGCAAAATCAAATCCATCAAAACCTCATACATAAATAGTCGAAATTAGCGTAAATAGTCAAAAAATACATAGATAGTTGAACACAAATTTAACATTATATTTTGTTATAGGCGGGTAACTGAGAACGTTGCAACATTTTGATCACATCTTCTCCCGATCTTCGAAGCCGCACATCCACTTCAATCGGACCCTTATTCGAGTATTGTTGAAAAGTACTCCACATGACCTTCAAATCGTCATCCGTCTTCAACTCAAATCTGGTGAACTTGATCTTTCCTTCAGGGTCCAACGAGGGAGAACGATACTCGACCTTGACCATCCTTTTATTTTATGGATATTACAAGAGAGCGTTGAGTGTCGTAATCAGGCCGGTGAGAGGCGTATCTTCGGAGACCCGAAATTGAAGTGGCAACATGTTACCATTGAAGTAGACAAAATAAAGGCGGGGATATGTTTGAGTCATCTCTATTTGTGGTGTGTGATATTGAAGAAATAGTTTGGACCACCTATTTATAGAAAATTTGGAGCATTTTGGATCCAATATTTCTTATCCTGCGAACAGGGAAAGTTTCAGATATACAGATCTGAAACATCCTATGTGTTGCCTTTTTTTTTTTTTAAATATGAAGGCTATTTCAGACATGTATATCTGAAACATCCCCCGTGTTGTTTTTTTTTAAATAGATGAAGGTTGTTTCGGATATTTATATCCGAAACATGCAGAAACAAAATGAAAATATGCTTTTTACGGAATAAGTACTGCACACAATTGGAAAAAATGAAAAGGTAAACATAAGCATAAATAAAATGTTAAATATATATGTTATATATGTATTGAATCATGTAGAATTTACATTTTGCACAACAATACATTCAAAAAATGGTTCGGTTTGATTACATATTAAAATACACTGAACGTATTCTCATCGCTTAAATCTAAAATCGGAGCTTTCTTCGAATTCTCTCTATTTGATTCTCCCTCATGCTCCACCAATTTGGTGAACTCTACCATTCGTTCCAAAAAGTGGTCTGACCAAGATTCCGTCTCTGATAAGGAATGTTCCATCCATTAAACTAATACAGCTAAAATAGGACACTCCAGTTTCAAATAAACCTACACAAAATGGAGCGATCTAAGGTACCCAATACAAATGACGCGCCTTGATGGGTCTTGAGGAGGGAAACTCCGAAGTGGGAAAAATGTCTCCAAAAAACCATATCTCATCAGATCGATTACCACCCTGTCATATGCACCAGCTATGAGATGATCCATTTCAGGGAAGCTCATCCACTTTTCAACTAGAGAAGTTCAAGAAAGATACAGAACAAGATCACTGTGAATCTTTTCAAACTAATTAATATTCAGATAAATTTGTCTATAAAGTTCCTTATGCATGGTCAACTTAGAAATAAGTGCATAACGCACAAGAGTATGATCCTCCTCGCCTTTGCCAATTAAACCGGCCACGACACGATACTCACAGTTACCATTTGAAATCACATCAACGATCTTTTCAATGTGTTTGTGCATAAAAAGGGGAATCTCATCAACGTAGATAATCAGTGGGGGAATTGGTTTTTGAATCAGAGGTATTATCAGGGGGTTTTAATAGGAGGCGTGCGTTGTGGTTTCGAAGTGAGAGATCCCTTGAAGAAACTTGTTTGCGATTTTGGTGTTGGAGAATCCGAGAATAGTGAATCAACAACTTCATGATAAGACGAAGACCGCTTTGTTGAACTGTCACCTTGGTTACTTTTCACCTTTTTAGGGGCACCATTGGTTTTTACCGATTGCGATAGAGGCTTTAAATTGGTGGTTTATGGCTATGCGATTTTCCGTAGCTGTTCTTTGATGTGAAATTTCATAGTGTCATCCGCTTTAGAAAATCTATCCATGATCACTTCCAACTCAGTTGCGATGTTTATATCCGGTGAATTTTCTTTCGGAGCCTCATAGTCATCAAATCAGAGTTTTTTCCAATGAATGTAGACCTCGTCCATACGAATGGGGGAATTTAGCTTCATCTTTTTTGAAATGGGACAAGAACATGGAAGCCCGTATGTTTTCCTAATTGTACATCCACACTTTGAACTATCCAGACCGGTTGTCTTTGCTCACTCGGCTTCATGAAAAATGAAATTCAATCCCACCCGGGATATGTTGAGAACCAATTGCGAGTATAAAATGTTTTCTTTGAACCGATGTTCTAAAACGGTTGTGCTCTGACCAAAAGTATTTTGGATTTCATTATGTTAGTTTCAGAGCATTGGTTCACAATGTCCCATTCTCTACAAAGATCTCCCTTGCTATCACCCGACCATTTTTTCAATGCCGCATGTGCAGATTCGACTCTATTAGTCGTTGTGCATCCCAAATGTCTAACCCGATCTGTCCAAGCACACATGAATTTCTCTTTCACCTGATCAAGAATACTAGATTCCACATATTTTAAGAAATCAGGATAATTGACACACAATTTCTTGAAATGTATCACATTCTCAACATATAAGTGTTCTGTTGAAGTATTTAAAATATTCATCCATGCATCTATTATCTTCTCCAACACAACACTAGGCTTGACCATATTTCAGTCTTTACCCTTGATTACTTTGGTAGAAGGCTATAGTTGTTGTTCTTGTACGTTGAATCAATTATAAGGACGATTGAAAATGTGTTGAACAACTTGATACTCTCTGGACGAGTCCAAAAAATGTCACGAACATTGACTTTGTCCTCACAAACTCTATACCTTGAAATGTAGTGATTATCATCCAAAAGTTTTAAAAGTTGTTGAATCTCGATTCTCGGACCTCTAATCGCCATATTCTATTTATGACGTTTATTGTATACATGTCTGATATTTGAAATACTATCCTTTTACATTTCAAATCAGCAAGTATGTTTCTCGGCACAACTTTGATTATCGACATCTCTGAAATAATTACCTTCTCCTCCGACTTAAGTCGGAACACAATTGGACGACCATGCAGTTTGATGTCCAAATCATGATTATGTATACCATAAATGACATTGAACATCCACTTATCATCCACCCTACAATATCCACGCAATTTAAATGGACACTCACATTTCTTCGATCCGGTGTCTTCATGTATCAACTTCCGAATTTTGGGAACATACTTTCCACTTCTCTCGAATACCATCGTAACAAATGCTTTCCTTCTACTAGTGCCGTTTTCGGACCTTCCAATGACAACGCCAAACCCGAGTTTGCTAGCTTCCATTCGAACCCATTCAAGCATATGTTGACGCACATTGAAAAGTTGTTCATTTGTAAATTATTGCCTACAATCTATCGCCACAACAATCAATTTATTGTCGCCCGTCACCTCTTCCAGTTTTTCTCCTTCATTCCCGTAAAATTAAGAGGAGGTGTCACACAACATAGTTTATCCTCCTATGTAGTGTCATGTAGTGCGACACATGCATATACCAGTAAGGAGGAGGCACCAAACATTGTGGCTTGATAGTTGTTTTTTGTTTTATATAAATATAACCACCCATCTTCACCATTTTCACACCTCTTCTCATATCACTCTTTAAAATGTCTTCCACTCCCTTGCCAAGATTTTCACTGATCAAAAGAGATGCTCATGTTATTTTTTCTTCAACAAAGCCTCTGATGAAGATCAAACTCTGGAGCACGCGGATGTTCGAGCATTTTCAGAGACACTTGAGTCGCTGGTTGGACGGAGACATTTTTGATGGTGAAGAGATCAGGAAAATTAAAAGGCAAGTTACAGTGTTCATACCCCCTTCATGTTTGAGACAATGACATCAACTCATAGTAGATGACCAATGGAGATTTAATAATTTGAGAGACTTCACTAGAGCTGAATGTCGTCAATGGAGGCATCGACGTGAATTGGTCCTTAGAGATCAAATCTTTCAGGAAACTGTTATACCAACTCGCCATTATCTGAGATGGTACACATCAGTTTCACCAAATTTGTTTTTGTCTCAAGAGACATATTTAGTAGACTTACGGCAAGAAGCTGCATCATACACCCAACAATTGTTGTGTACAAGTGTGAATTATTTGTCTCACATTGCATAGAATAGTGGAGGTTGAACACTTTATAAGTGAGAAGACTCGTATACCTATCACCTTAAAGTTTTGGATGAATATATGGTGTCTCTCTCACTTGTGTGTTGCACCTGACCAAATGTGGATGCTTCTCGTGATGATCCAACAACAACCAACCCAATAACATTGTCAACCCACCCAAATCCAACAACCTTTCACCACCACATCCACCCAAGCCCGCCAACCTTACACCACCACATCCATCCAAATCCGCCAACAATTCATATCACATACACAAACACAAAATCAAAAGTATGACTTAGACAACCACACACAATATGCTCCCAACACTTCTTACCACAATATCAATGATACATATAATACCTCTCCTTCTTACCATAACATTCAACCAATGTATAGTCAAACATCACAATTCAAAAATTTTTTTATAAAAAAATAATTACTTTTAAATATTTTTTTTTGTAATTTGTCTTTTATGTGATGATCTTTTTTATTTGAAAAATGATTGTTTTAAAATATTTTTTGAAAATATAAGTATTTGAGAAATAAATAAAAAACTGATTACTGAACAAAAAATAACAGAAATTTAGAATAAGGGAATGACTTTAGTAACACATAAATTGAGAAAAAAGAAAACGTGGAGTGATGTGATCTTTTTGTGTGTTGAAAAAGCATCGAGTGTAAAAAACAAAACATGAGTCAGCAAAACATGACAATACAAGTAAGGCATTGGTGATAAGACATGACTCGACTCTGATTGAAAACCAAACTCACCTCCTCTTTTCTTCACATTCCAAAACCTGATTATCACCGCCATTACCTCAACTAAACAAAACCATCACTTTCACTTCTCCTCTTGCTGAAGAAAGAAAGAAAGAAAGAAGATAAGAATATCATGGATTTGGACATCATGGCCAGTATTCACTCTGTCAACCACTTCTCCACTCTCCAATCTTCTCCTCCAATTCACTCTGGTTAGTTCTTCTTTTCCTATACTTCCAATGCTATTACTATTACTACTACTACTTCTCTACTCTCCAACCTTACTAACACTCTTTCTTTCCATTTCCATACTACAGATGATTATCCAGTAATCCATTACACAGATGTGTATGATGATTACCAATCTGATTTCAGATGTCCTTTTTGTGATTTTGATATTCAACTTCCTGTCCCCTGCAACGATTTCCATGAGGACTATTGCTCTGCTCTAAAATATATGGTACTGTATAACCTTTAAAAGTAAACAATGGTTATAGTAGTATCTGATTCTATTTTCCTTCACCAGATTTGTCCTGTGTGTGAACAAGATTTAGGAAATGATGCAATCGCACAATTTACACATTCAACCTCGCGAAAGGTATGTTTTGTAAAATCCAGCATTTGTTTGAGTCAGAGCCAAAACTCTGTGTATATTAGTCGCACTTTAGCCATGTATCTTGATTATCTGGCTAAACTCAATAAACTCAATAGATTGATATTTTGGTCTGTAGTGGGGATGGAAGTCTGAGAAATCTAGCAACTGGTCTGGTAATTCAGCAATGTTTGGCAAGAAACTAGCAGGCAGGGGAAACAAACAAGAATCAATCGCCGATCCACTCTTGTCACCGTTCATCTGCAACGGACCCGTTCCTAACACTAACAGTAGCCATCCAGGTGAAAAATCCAGCCTCGGAAACAAGGATATAAACATTGCAAAAAGGTATGGTTCTTGCAGGTTATATAGTTAAGTGCTAAACCTCCAATGAAAATGTTTTAGAAAGAGATTGAAACAAATCTGTTGCTGAACGGATGCTACTGGTTGTCTTTGCAGGTGCTGGAGTGATGGTGTTGAGCAGGATCATCGAGAACAAGGGTTGAAGGCAGCTTTTGTTCAGAGCTTGATATTATCAACCATATTCGAGGAAACATAATAGTAGAATTTAATTTACAGCCGCATAAATCATTAATTAGTTACAGCTTCTTACATATTCAGATAGTCTATGTATTATGATGCTGGTTCCAGAGGCACTGGGTTTTATTGCGGTGCTTCTGTTTAGGATGTGCACTATAAGCAATAGTTATGTTGAGGCCAAATGTACTTCAGATCTCTATTAATTAAATAAAGTGTGATTTTTCACAAGATAGTATCCTCCTTATCCTCTTACGCTTCAAGATATTTTGAGCTTTTTTAAGAATTTCTTTAAGAATTTGTTGCACAACATCGTGAACTATAGGAGCCTTCACTAAATTTCCACAAGATAGTATCTCAGCTATAATGTCTCGTCGCGTGTGCATAGACCAACCTACATGCATGGAGGACCGCTGCCTTCCTCTTCAGCCATTGTTTCTGCAAGTGCTTTCTCTTTGGTTGGTGTTAATATCTCTATCAATTGTGGACAGTGTGGGTAAGGATGTGATATTCGAAATAATTGTTACATGAACATTTTTTTGACACCTTATTAATACCGTATCCAATTTGATTACAAATTTCATCTTGCTCATAAATCAAAACATTATATTAATAAAAAATTATTATTATAGGCTATATATGTATACAAATACGGTATAGTGTTTGGATTCGGATGTTTACATATCATGATTCTATTCGAAAATACAACCTCATATATCTTACTTTTTAGTATACCAACTCTATTACTGTCGAAATATTTAACACCTAAATATGGAAATACTGTCGAAATATTTAACACCTAAATATGGAAATAGGAAAACAGTGAGACATAATAGGAAAACAACGATTTATATATGTTTTATAATATGCGCCATTTTATAGTATATAGATTACTATATATATAAGATGAAACATTCGTTTCTAATAAGCATTACAACATATTAAATAACAAAGTTATTAGGTTTTTTTTCCTCTTATAATAATAAATTCAATCTTTCTTTTTAGATATTTATTTATTCGTACAAGTTTATTTTTCTAGCTACGTTATTTCGTGTTCAACTTTAATGAGGGTGATATTTCATATCGTTATTAGAAGTCAAAGTTTCGATGGGACTCCAACCGTTGGTATGAGAACAAATTGTAAAATTGTAGAGTGGTAAAACTTTATTATTTTTATTGGTTATCGAACATAATGGCTTCTACTAGTGGAACCGTCAAGGTTGGGAAATGTGAAATAAAGAAGTTCAATGGAAAAAATGATTTTTCCTATTGGAGGATGCAGATGAAAAATCTACTTATATCACAAAAGTTGCATAAGACGTTAGCAGGGAAAGAACAAAAACCTGTGAGTATGAAGGATGAGGATTGGGAAGAGTTGAATCTTGAAGCACAGACAACCATAATCTTATGCCTTGAGAGGGATGTTTGCATTCTTGGTTAATGAAGAAGCAACACCTGCTGGTGTGTGGTCAAAAGAAAAATTTCATGACGAAAACTCTAACAAATCGGATCTATTTGAAATTCAAATTGTATACATGCAAGATAGAGGAAGGCACCTCAATCCGAGATTATGTCAACAAGTTTGATAGGATTATAGCAGACTTGAAGGATATAAGAGTGAAGATTGATGATGAAGACCAATCACTTATGTTGCTTCTTTCATTGACCAAGAAGTATGAAACTCTAGTTCAAACATTGATGCTTGTAGGTGATACTTTAATCATGGATGAGACTAGAACATCATTATTAGCAGATGATCTTAGAAATATTGCTACTAGTGGGATGTCTGGTAATGGTGGAGAAAATAACGAACAAGCACAAGGGTTGTTTGCTAGTAGGGGCAGGAACAATGAAAGAGGAAAATGTATGGGCGACAAGTCTAGATCAAAATCTAGAGCTCCTATGGAAAGAACGTGCTTTAAATGGGGTGAACTTGGGCACTTCAAAATAAATTGTCCAAATAAGAGGGTGTTATTGAAGAAGTATACCAACAACAAAAGCAACTCCAGACAAGAGTTGCAGGAGGCGAGTTATGTCTCAAATGGCGAGGATGATTGCTTCTTGGTTTCAGAGCAAGAACATGATATCTATGGGAGATGGATGCTTGATTCAGGAGCTTCACACCATATGTGCCTAAATAGGAAGTGGTTTACTACCTACCAAAGTACAAATGGTGGTACAATTTTAATGAGGAATAACCATGCCTGTAATATTATGGGGCATGGTAAAATAAAAATCAAGATGCATGATGGAGTGGTAAGAACTTTGAGAAACGTCAGACATGTCCCTAATTTGCGGAAAAACCTTATTTCTCTTGGTGTGTTAGAGGAAAATGGTTGCAAAATAATCTTGAAAAATGGAGTCTTAAAGGTTGTTCGTAGTTCGTTGGTTGTGATGAAGGGGGTTCATCACATGAATCTTTATCCTCTTATGGGGGAAACTATCACGGGTGATTTGGCAGTTGGAATTAATAGAAATAAAGATCATACTAAATGTACGGGGATGTAGCACATGCGCCTTAAGCATATGTATGAAAAGGGTCTATCACTGGTTGGTGAGAAAGTTTTGCTGAAGAACATGGAAAAGCCATGCATGGAATTTTGTGAACATTGTGTGTATGACAAAGCACATAGGTTGCAGTTTTTTACAAGTAAGCATAAAAGTAGGGGAATATTAGACTACGTACATACTAACGTTTGGGGTTCAGCTCTGGTTACTTCTAAGGGTGGTTTCAGATACTTTGTTACATATGTTGGTGATCATTCGAAGTATGATTGGATTTATTTTCTTAAGCATAAGAATGAGGTATTTGATATTTTCAAGTGTTGGAAAGCAATGGTTGAGAACATAATGGGTAGAAAGCTGAAAACTATGCGATCAGATAATGGTACAGAGTATATAGATGGAGCTTTCAAGAGGTTTTGTGATCAGGAAGGAATTGTTAGACACTGGACAATCAGAGGCACACCACAACAAAATTGAGTCGTGGAAAGACTGAATCGTACACTTCTTGAGAAAGCAAGGTGTATGCGCTCTAATTCTGGGTTAGGTCTAGAATGGTGGGCAGAGTTGGTTGCTACAACTTGTTATGTAGTAAACAAATCCCCACATTTTAGTTTAGGTGGAGACACACCCTATAGGGTGTGGTCAGGTGAACATGCTGATTATGAAAGACTGGAAATTTTCAGATGCACAACTTATTATCACGTTAAGGAAAACAAACTTGATAACAAAGCCAAGAAAGCTATCTTCCTAGGATATGCAAAAAGGGTCAAAGGCTATCATCTTTGGAGTGTATAAGATTCTATGTTTGTGATCAACATGGATGTTACATTTAACGAAAAATCTATGGTAGCTTTGTCAAAAGCTATGAAACCTAGTGATGGTGATATGACGATATCAAATAAGAAAGTTATTGAGATAGAATCTGAAGACCAACCAGATTCTAGTTGTGATCAGGCGGAGAATCCTATCGTTAATGAAGATGAGGAAGAGGATGAACATAATCATGAAGAGGTTCAGTAGGAAAATACACATGTGTTACAACAACAACAACAATAATCTTTGGATACCACTAGGCCAAAGAGAAATTATAAACCAGTTCAAAAATTTGGGTCAGACAAACCTCTGAGGCATTATGGGCAGGTTAACTTGGTGGAATATGCACTCTCAGTTGAAGATGATGAGTCGATCACCTTCAAGCAAGCTATCAAAGACAAAGATAGAGAGATTTGGTTGGTTTCTATGGAGGAAGAGATGCAATCTCTTCATAAGAATAAGACATGGGAGGTGGTCCTATTGCTTGCAGGAAAGTCTGCTATCGGTTATAAGTGGATGTATAAAAGAAAAGAAGATCATACTAAGTCGTGCGATACAAGATATAAGGCTAGACTAGTGGCCAAGGGGTTTGCACAAAAGGAAGGAGTTGATTACAATGAGATATTTTCTCCGGTGGTGAAACATACTTCTATTCGGGTGCTATTAAGTTTAGTAGCTCATGGTGATGTTGAGTTGGAACAACTAGACATGAAGACAACCTTCTTGTATGGAGACTTAGATGAGGAAATATATATGTATCAACCTGAGGGATACAAGTTAAGGTTAAAGAGAGTCAGGTATATCGCTTGATAAAATCACTTTATGGGTTGAAACAATCTCCTAGAAGTGGTACAATCGATTTGATTCTTTTATGATAAAATAAGGTTTCTCTAGAAGTAGTTATGACAGTTGTGTCTATATTTAGAAGCTTCATGGAGGTGATTACATCTATCTATTATTATATGTCGATGACATTCTTATTGCTTCAAAAAGAAAGGATGAGATATACAATTTGAAATTTAAACTTGGTAAAGAGTTTGAGATGAAGAATTTGGGCGCTGCAAAGAAAATACTAGGTATGGAGATTAGAAGAGAGCGGACAAACCGAAAATTGTTCTTGAGTCAAAAAGGCTATTTAGAGCGGGTTGTTGAAAGGTTTGGAATGAAAGGTTATAAGTCGGTGGTTACTCCATTAGCTCCACATTTTAAGATTTCTGGTAATCAATCTCCCACTACAACAGAAGATAAGGCATACATGGAAAATGTACCTTATGCTAGTGCAGTTGGCAGTTTGATGTACGCTATGTTATGTACATGTTCAGATATTTCACAAGCGGTAAGTGTTGTCAGTAGGTTCATGGCGAATCTGGGAAAGGCACATTGGGAAGCAGTGAAATGTATTTTGAGGTACTTAAAAGGTACCATTAACACTGGTTTGTGTTTTGGTGGAGATACATGTCAAATAAGTGGGTTTGTTGATTCATATTATGCTGGCGATCTAGATAGACGATGATCTACTATTGGTTATATGTTTCAAATACACGGTGCTCCCGTTAGTTGGAGGTTGATGTTACAGTCTATAGTGGCAATCTCTACTACGGAAGCCAAGTACATGGCTGTAGCAGAAAGAGTAAAGGAAGCATTGTGGCTGAGGGGTCTTCTCGGTCATTTGGGCGTTAAGCAAGAATGCGTAAGACTGATGTG